GAAAAAAATAACAGACAGTGTGGCTCCATGCCATGCGACCCCATGAAAAAAAAAAAGCATGGGTTTCCCCCCAAATCTCTTACCAGACCCTTGATTCGAGCAACAGCCGGGCAGAGAAGGAAAGGCGGGGACAATCGCGCCCGCAGACCCCCACAACCACATGGGCGAGGGTTGTGGGGAAGAGGCCATTGTACTCATCAACATGGGGACCCTGCCCCATGTTGAGGGCAAGTGGCCTGGTATGGTGTGGGCGGTGGGCACACACGATCGCCCCCCACCCTTTCATGCTCTGCCAGGCTGCTGCTCAGCTCAAGGGTGTGGTAAGAGATTTGGGGCGTTTGGGGTCCACCATAAAATTCCTACCAGAACTAAAGGGTCTGGCATAAATTGGGGTGGTAGGAAATTTATGTTGGTATGCCTACTTCGCTCCTTCTGGAGGTAACAGAATCACCGAACCCTATGCTTAGCCAAATGTTTGGCTATTCACTCTCAGCTGCCAAAGTTTGCTTCACCCGATCCAGATGTTGCATCAGCCGAGGCCGATGAGCTCTTCCCTTCGCTTCAACCGGATGAGCTAAAGCAGTCCAGTTGAGGCGAAGGAAGGCGAAGCGAGCCAAAGGCAGCCAACATTCGGCTACAAATAGCCATTCATGGATGCAGTTAATAGCCATACAGGCTAATAGCCTTTGGTTAGCTTCGGTTATTCATTCGGCTGCCTTTGGGAGCTGAGTGAATAATCCCCTTGGTTTTGGAATGGGATGCCCAGCAAGCTCAAATAGGTGTGATTGTCTGGTGCCCACAAACGTTTGGCCATATAGTATATTTGCATAGAATGTTGTATATCTAAAGGGATGCCAGGAGGTTGGCTTTTTCATTTTTATTACAACAATGGCAGAATGGGTGACTGTCTGTGGTCCTGACTCCATTAGGGCCCATGGGGATGATTAAATAAAATTTAAAAAAAATATTAATCTCCACAGCCACAGAAAGGTTTCCTTTAAGTTAATTAACTGATCATAGGCAATACATATGCACTGTATATACCTGGAAGCATCATTTTGATATTATCTGTCGCCGTCATAGGAGTGATTTGCAAAGAGTACTTTGCTGCATAGGATCCAACTCAAAATTCAAATGCTTCACTCCAAAGCCTTCTGAATTGTTTCACAAACCCATGGCAGATGCAAAACACAAATTTCTGTGTACAATGACTCTTACGTGTGATCCTATTACCCATTGCATGCATTATATTGTGCCATCAATTTATATACTGTTCATTCAGAGCAGTCCCTGCCCTTGAGGAGCTTATACTCTAAGGTCCTGATCTCACACACAATAGGGCCAATTTAAACAGGAGCCAATTAACCTACCAGCATGTCTTTGGAGTGTGGGAGGAAAGCCACACAAGCACAGGGGGAACATACACACTCCTTGCAGATAGTAACCTGACCAAATATGGATTTGAACAGTGACGTGCGGTACCTCCGGTTCCGGGTGAGGCATCCCCCAGCCTCGCCTCCAGCACGTCCCGCCGCGCCCCATCCCCAACCCAGTCCCCAAACTAGTGTGAAGAAGGAGGAGATAGGGAGGAGCCCCCCTGTCCCTCACTTGCTCGTCACGGCTGAGGCATTGAGATCGATGGCCTCAGTGTTTGCTTTTTTTGATTGGACAGCTTGGACCAATAGCTCTTTACCATTGGTCCAAGCCATCCACAGAGCTCACGCCTCTAACAAAGAGTAGAGGCTGTGACAGCTCTTGCCTCACTAGTTAGGTTACACAAGCAGTGGGGAAGCCCACTGCTGTGTAACCCAACTACCTGTCAAAAGCCGGATGCAGCTCCGTCCATGACAGGTTTAACAGTGGGGAGGCTTTCCCTGCTGTGTAACCTGTTAGATGCCGATCTGAATGGAGAAAAAGCTGTCAGCTTCAGACTTGACGCTGACAGCTTTTTCCTCCATAATTCTAGGTGAGGCTCTGTCTCCCCCGCCTCCCCTGACCGACCGCATGTCCCTGGATTTAAAGGGGGACTTTAAAGGTAGTAGTGCTAACCACTGAGCCACTGTGCTGCCCAATTAAACTGGCGCGGGGGGGTTATGAAAGTAAAAAGTCCAAAAGCCCAGGTTATAATTAGAGTGAATCTAAAGCAAAATCCTTTTTCATTGTTGTAGATATAGTATGTAATGGATTAAAAATCCCTATTACTTTACTTTGTTTGTCCCACTTGGGAGATATCCCTCATGGAGACTCCATTGCCAGACCATTCATTTTATCAACAATCATCCCGTAAGATTATATGTGCATGTATCATATTTTAAGCATGTTATTAACCTTTTATTAGTCAAAACCTTAAAGTGTAACTCCAGCTGTTGGTATAAAAGCAGAGCTACATGATGGTGTTTAGGACTCGGACATCAAGAATCCAACATATATCTGTCCCTGGGCCAAATTCAGTACTGCTACTTTTCACAATGTAAACATAAGGACAGTGCCTTAAGAGAGTACTGAAGCCACGTTTTTACTTTTGGACACAGTAAGGGAGGGTTATAATCCCTGTCGGCTTTTTTGCCATTTGTGCCGCATTTAACATTATTTCCTGTTCAATAACCACAGTAGGAAGTGAGAGAAATTCCCTCCAAAGTGAGGGAAATCTCTGGTGGTCAGCAGGGTCACCAATATCAGTGTCCCCATTGGAAGACCACCCATCCCTGTTCTGGCAACAACCCAAAATTTGAGATTTTCTTTTTACTTTCAGTGATAATGGCCACCAGGGCAAATAGAGAGGGTGAATCTCCCTAATGGGCACACAGTCAGCAATACTATCCTGACAGGTGTTCTAATTCCTTTCTACTCCTTCCAGAACCCCAAAACATCTTTCTTCAGTTGCACATTAAGCCATAATGTTCCTAGCCAGTCTGAGCTTTGTTTACATTTTGGTACCCTGTTGGTGTTCCTAAGCTCAGGCCATTGATACTCCTGTTATGGAAGATCCAGTAGTCAAAGTGGGAATGGACAGTTGCTGGGTTATACATATTTATCCTCACCATTCAGTCACTTGGGAGATTGCTCAGTGGTGTGAGCTGGTGATAAATATTTGGTGCAACCTTCCAGAGTGTTCCTCCCTCTCCAGGGCTTGGGGGAATCAGTTCCTGGACTGTTGAGTCTATGCTGCTCTGGGCTCTATTCATAGTAAGCTATGCAAAAGCTGCACATTGAGCAATGAAGAGACCTCCTATAAAGGAGAGCACCCATGGCAGCCCACATAGATTAAAGCTGGCCACGCAATTGTAGATTTCCGAACGAAAGATCTGTTTTTCCCAGCCGATAATGCCAGCAGACACTTGACGAATGCCGAACTAAATTTCGTTTTATTTTTACATTCGATTTTGGAATGAATGGAGCTTCCTGAACGAAAACCACATTCACTGTTAGAATTTTGTTCATTCAAGAAAGATTTTCCATCTTGCTCCTTCTAGTTTTTTCGTCACTACGGTCAACATCGATTGTCAATTTGACCCCATCAACTAATAGGAACACGAATGAAGGTTATTTCGTATGAAAGAGGTGTATGGCGAGCTTAAGCATAGCTGAACTGACCACATGGAACAAGGACACACTTGTCGACCTTCAGAGTTGGAGTGTCTGATGTACTCATTCACAAGATACTATTTGGTTTTTTTGGGTATCCTGTTCCCTCATCCTCTTTCCCTTGTCTGTGTCCAGCAAAAAACTAAAAGAAAAACAGCTAAAGAGACTGGTGCCTATCTGTGCTGTCCCACCACAAGCCAAGGAGCCTGGGAGCCTAAAGGAGAACTCTGAGGTGAGTGCTTTTCACTCACCTCATAGTTCTAGCCGACCTGTGACAATGAGACTGTCACAGGTCGGCTCAGTAGATCGGGAGGTGAGCG